TCCTGCTCAGCTTGGCGGGTCTGCGTGTGGACCTGGATCTCTACCTGCGCCGGGCCCCGGAGACTCTCCACGCGGGGTGGGCCCCGCCGGGCGCCGCCCGGGCTACGGGGAGTAGCCCTCCGCACCCCAAGTGCCCTGATCGCGACTGGGACCGGCTGCTGCGGGAGGTACGGGCGCTGGGGGCCCCTTACATCCCCAGCACCCGCGTGGAGGCCTGGCTGGTGCACGCCGTGGCAACCGGGGAGGGGAATGGGCCCCGGAGACTCTCCACGCGGGGTGGGCCCCGCCGGGCGCCGCCCGGGCTACGGGGAGTAGCCCTCCGCACCCCAAGTGCCCTGATCGCGACTGGGACCGGCTGCTGCGGGAGGTACGGGCGCTGGGGGCCCCTTACATCCCCAGCACCCGCGTGGAGGCCTGGCTGGTGCACGCCGTGGCAACCGGGGAGGGGAATGGGGCGCTCCCCTCTTCGCCCGTCAGTGGCGCCGGCGGAGATGGCCCCAGCGAGAGCAGTGCCCAAGAGGGTCCCGGCTACCCCTTCTCCTCCCGGGGGAGCAGCCTGCAGGCCCAGGAGGAAAGGGATGGAGAAGTCTCAGCGGCCCCCGAAGCCGAGTCCACCCCGGGGGGAAGTGACTGTCCTAGCCTAGAGGTAAGTGGCAGAGGAGGGAGGACGCACAGCGCAACGTTCCCTGTCTGGGGAAGTAGCTTGGGGCCCCACAGAGCCGGGGAGGTGGTATGGGGGAACCTGCCTCCTCTTAGAGCATTTTCTGCGGGTGAAAGCGGGCAGTGAGCATCTGCAGATCCAATAGGAAGAGCTGGAGTCCCGCGTGCCGGGGGGCTCCCCAGACATAGGAGAGGAGGGGGACTCTCACTAAACAATACGTCTCCATCCCACCTCTAGAATGCACTCACGGCGAGAGACTCCTCACACACCACACAAACACTCCCCTTCCTGCTTCTGAAATAACGAGGTGTTACATGGAGTTGCAGAACTATTAGGGAGGAGCTTGGAATGCTGGGACCAGCTGGCCCACAGGCACACCCACAACACAAACTTTGGCAGCGGGATCCTGGCTGTTCCAAAAGCGATTTAGGGTTGGATCAGAATGCTCTCACTTGCACCTGCCCTATAATGAGACAAATTCTAAATGTCCAGTGTTTGACACAGCTGCACTGAATTTCCAAGAAGCCTGGGTCTAAAAATGCTTCTTTTTTTCTTCATGATGTCCCAGCTGAGGTGCAGGCAGATACTGCCCTCATTCCTTGGAGACAGAGGGTATGTCTAGACTGGTGGGTTTTCCCACTGTGTCCAGGGAATGCGTTTGCTCTTCCGCTTTTTTACAGTAGATTTAATCATGTCTACTGTGCATCCTGTAACAGAAGAGAGAAGGAAAAGGAGACAGCTTCTTAAATTTTTCTGCTGTCTGTAAAAAGACCTCAAATTCCAAATGATTTCATCTTGGTTGTGCGCTCAAAAAGTACACAGATAATGGAACCTCGTTATCTACTTTACTGAAGCTGGAGCAATATAACTGTATACACCGATTACTTTTTTATTTAGCCTACATTACTTATAATGTTGGCTCTGGGGAGGTTATAATTGTCTAACAAAAGCAGGTAATCAACTGGGTCAGCAAGTAGAGGACAGATTTTAGCCAAATAATCAGGGACACAGGACTACCCATGAGATCCAGTCCTGAAGAGATGTAACCATGTGCTCATTTTAAATTCTTCACTTGTTTTAAATGCCATTGAAATCAGAGTTGCAGGATTAGGGCCTTTGTTTTAAGTATTTTCTTAATGTTGCACGTGGACACTTTTAAATGTAATGTATCCATGATCCATCAAAACTATGGACCATATGTACATCACTATCTAAATGCTGGTGCTGTCAATATTATAATATTGTCTCCATAAATCTTGGCCATTTTATTGTGTCAGAGCTGAACTCCAGTTTCACCAGTGCTCTATAAAACATTTCAAACTGTCTTTGATTTATTACAAATATTTGATTAGAGAGATAAGTCAAGTTAAAACAAATTGTACCTGGTAATGATGATCAGTTTGTTAGATTATTCAGTTATAAACATATGCCATATGTATCTGTTTAGTAACTAGAGCAAACTATTTAATCCACAGCACTGATCCTGCAAAATACTTGCACATGTGTGTAACTACATGCATGTGAGTAAAGCTGTTCAGTTTAATGGGACTACACTCAGGAGTAAAGTTACTTGTGTAATTTTTGGAGAAACAGTGCTTTGAGTTTTAATTTTATAAATTGTGGTTTATGAATAATAACTACTACTAATAATAATAATAATATAATCATTGAATAATAACTGAGTTGTACGAACATCTTTGACATATTTTGAAATCTAAAGTAAAATAATACTCAGATGACCATACTTTTGCATGCTAGATTTTAATCTCCAAGGGCCAAGATATTTTTCAATAACTTGAGTTCAGTGATCAGCAGCAACTGATGCTCTCTAATTATTATGTATAGTCATATTGTACAAATAAACTTTTAATTTGTTTTACTTATTAGGATTTTGCACAAGGATTAGCCTGGTTATGATTCTGTACTGTATTTGTTGGTATTATTTCTGTAGGTAGTTGTAGAACTAGTTTCTCCACCCTAACCTAAAGGGATCACTCACTGTGTTGGAGTGAGGGATGATTCATTTTCTGTGCTAATTTAGCTGTAGACCTCTATGAAGCCCTACTTCCCTACAGTATAGAGTGGTTGAGATGCAGACTAGTAAACTGAACCCCAAATATCAATACTGCCCCAACCAGTGCTCTGCTGCTCTGGCTCACCTGGGCACCAGTCTCTGGAATTCCATTGCCCTAGCCGGTAGGCCCACCAGGGCTCCATTCTTCCATAGTCCAGCAATGCTTCTGGCTCCAGCCTGCCACTTTTTCTCCATGAGCGCTCCAGCCGAGGACCACCCTATGAGGTCACTGATTATGCCTGCCCACAAGTGTTGCCGGGTTAGGGAAGTTTGGATTAGGGATGTGAATGGCTAACCGGTGGGGGCTGGAGCAGCTCCCTGCCTGCCGAGGGCTAGAGCAGCCCTGCAGCACCTGCCACAGGAAGAGAGAGGGTGAGTGCTCCAGCTTGGATAGTCAACCTATTAAACAGGATTTTACATCCCTTGTCTGGATTAGAGAGATTCTACCTATACAATACTTTGGATTGTTCTATAATTTTATATAGTGAATTAGTGCAACCCATTTCCCAAAAATACCTTAAAATATGTGAATATAGAGCAGTGTTTCTTAAACTTTTTAAGACCGAGGAACACCAAACAGTACATTTTTTTATGGGGAACACCAAGGATTTTTTGTTGGGGGGGGAGGAAAGAGGTTGAGGGGGGAAAAGGGTTGGAAGGAAGGTATCAAGGGGGGGGGGAAGGCTGGGGGAAAGTTATTGAGCAAAAAAAAAGGTCGCCTGCCCCTTTAAGAATGGCCATTTTGAATTCTGTTCTCTGCAGCACACCTCCGACTGCCTTGCGGTGTGCCATGGAACACAATTTAAGAAACACTAATGTAGAGTGTTAAAGATCTTAGCCCAGCAAGTGATGGTGTCATTCTAACTATTCATATTGCAATAGCATCTATCCTCAGACACGCAAGAAGTCTCAAGTCTCAAAACCTTTGTCTCAAGGAGTTTACAATCCAAGAAAGAAGTTCACAAGCTAAGGTCTCATTCTGCAAAGACTTATGCATGAGAGTTGTCCCACTGAATTCAATGTGACTGTGTACATACGTAAAGTACTCAGTGTATAAGTGGTTTGCAAGAGTAGGATGTTAGCATTGGAGTAGAACTTGCTTTTCAAAGGAATTAATTGGGAATTGCTGTTTTTCATTCAAGAGAAACAGGCAGGGACTGTATGGGTTAGAAGTTTGACAATGGGGTATGGAGTCTTGTGATGACTACTTACCTGTGTGGTCAGTTGTATCACAGAAACTAGTGGTACAGCTGGCATTAAGCAGCATCTTAGATGGCAGGCTTGGCAGAGATGCCGAAGAGCTGAGTGGGCATTGAACTTTCCCTCCTGATGCATTCCTTTATAGGATTATGTCCAACTCCTGGGAGAGGCACATTGGCAGTGTCAGGAAAAGCTATGTTCCCTGCCCCAGTTGGACTTGCTATGTAGCTTCGCTCCATTTTCTGGGGCTATGCTTGTCTGGTACCTTTTGCAAGTACTGACTTGATGCATACAATTTAGAAATGCCTGCTTTAATTATTACTTTAATTACATTGTTTATAAATTATGAAAGTAAGGGAAGCAAGTACTAATTCAGTAATTATATTGTTTTCATAACTATCTACAACTCCTTGTTTGAGGATCTTATTGGAGGGGAATTATATATGGCCTGTTAATAGTACCCAATAAATTCTGCTGCCTTTTTTTAAGGCAACAGCTGTTGAGGGAACTGAGGTGTTGTATGGGTATAACCTGACCCTGAATTTTAAAATTATTTAAAGACTTTACATGGAAGTAGAGCTGCTTAATTTGTATATTATACCTTTTTTAAAAATTAGTGCTATAATTTCAGTGAAATAATGCAGATTTTGATTTTGTAATGCATTTTTTTAAAAATTCATATTGCTGGTAACAGTATCTGAGCATAGAAATGCAGGGGTAGATGAGACCTCGAGAAGTCATCAAGTCCAGCCCATCTAAGGCAGGGGCCCACTAAATCTAGATCATCTCTGATTTGGACAGTTGTTTGTCCAATTGGTTCTTGAAAACCTCCAATGATGGGATTGCACAACCTTCTTTGCAAGCCTATTCCAGAGCATAACTACCCATATAGGTAGATTTTTTTTCTCCCCCAACATCTAACTTAAATCTCCCTTGCTGCAGATTCAGCCTGTTATTTCTTATCCTGTCTTTAGGATGGGAGGGTGCTTTCTCTGGGTGTGGAAAGTGCATAAGAGATATTTATGGGAGGGAGTCAAGAAAGTGCTAAGGCGTGCCAGGGAGGCAGAGGCCAGGGAGGCAAGTTGCAGGAGATGAAATGCAGACAGGAACAAAGGCGAGGTCAACGAAGTCTGAATTTGATATAGAAGCAGATCAGCTGATAGGATCAGTGATTCAAAGAGAAAGTGCCCCAATCAGAGCAGTGGTCAGAGAAGAGCACTTTCGCTACAGCAGATAGATGTGGAAGGAGACACTGCTAATTGGGGAGGATAAAAAAAAAACTTCAATAGCCCCCATGAAAAAAGACAGCGTTTGCTCACTAGAGTCATGGATTATATTTCTTCCTGGCTCTCCAGAGACATCTGCAGATTGTAGAACTGAGCAAAGAGGGAAAGGAGAGGGAACAGGTAGATTCAAAATAAGTGAGCATACAGACTATAATTAACATGAGAACGGCTGAGGTTGCACAGGGGTATGGTGTTGCAGGAGAAAGGGAAGAGGAGGGAACCAACGATGGAGCCCAGAGGCACTCTGTGGGTGCGTCTACACAGAACCCTAAACTCAAAATAAGATATGCAATTTGTGCTATTTCAAAATAGCTTATTTTGAAATTTGGCACATCTACACAGTGCCAGATTTCAAAATAACATGTTATTTCGAAAAATATTTTGAAATAATGGGTGGCTTGTGTAGATGCAGGGTAGCTATTCTG